CCTCTTACAGGAGGCATAAAAGTGACCAGAGTATGATGCAAGGCAGGAGTGGAAAAGTATCAGTCATTAAAGAAGTGTACATAAAAGGAACACAGTAAAAGCAATCCTTTGTGGTAGTGCTAATTATACTCATGTGAAATGAAAGCAAAAATCTTTCGATCCAGGCTAAGATTTGTAATTCTAACCACAACCTTTTATAGATCATTAGTGTACAGGAAGTCACAGCGAAATCAAAAAGACTCATTTGTGCCATGAGAAATGGGCTTTTTTACCTATGATCACATCTGTAAGTGTCTGACAGCTAGAGCTTGCAGCATTGACAGTTTAAAACAGAAGTCTAGGAATAGACCTTTGTAAGACATCTATAACACAAATATCAAATCTAACTGAAGAAAAAGTAACGGAAACACTCCAACTTTACAGCCTGAAAAATACAATTTTCACTTCTAACAGTTCGATTACTTTTGCAACAAACACTGAGAATGCTTTTTTGCAATGAACACTGACAACCCTTATAAACCAAAGAAATTCAGATCATGCACAGCTCAAGAAAAATCCACTGCTTCTCCACCCAAGTAGCAAATTTCCCTGACTTGCCCTACTCAAAAATGGCCCTGCTGGACCACAATCTAAACTCAGTCCTTCTCCATCCTCCCGGTCACCCTGTGAACTTGGTTAAATGGCTAGGATGTGCCACCAAAAGATAGAATAAAACCACATTTTTATGTGCCAGGATCTTGGTTCTGACCCTGCTCCCATCGAAGTCGACAGCAGAGAATTCCCAAGGACCTGCATACGACTGACTGGCACATGGACCTCACTGCCTGTTTTAATGGGCTGCTTTGAGAAAACCTAGTGGGTTTGTCTCACTCCAGGTACACTTTCCTTTGCAGAAAGTAAACAGTCCAAAAATAAGCTTACCTATGAAATACGCCAGCAGGATCACCAGCGTGACTGAGATGACAATGGCACTCAGCGCAGCGCACTTCCAGTTGCAGTACTTATAGGGTTTCTTCAGGTTAAAGGCAGGCCTAGAGAAGGTACTTCTGGGAAGGGGCCTAGGGGGAGGTGAGTACACAGTGCTGGACGTCAAGGGATATCCCGGCGACGTTGTACAAAAGAGAGGAGAAGTGCCTCCAGGTTTGAATAGGAAGTGCCTGAGGGAAGAAAGAGCAACAGCAAGTGACTCCTCACACAAATGGAAGCCGAGGGAGACGTGGGGTGGGAGGATGGCGACTGCTGCCAGGACGAGGAAAACAGCTCCACACAATGCTGGCTACAGACATGGATGGCATGCACGAAAGAGAAGAATAAAAATCAAAGGCAAGTCACACAGAGTAAAGGAAAACAAAACAAAAGAAAAAAATCACAGGGCCAACAGTGCCACAGAGAACTCTTCAAGGGCAGGAGTCCCCTCTGTGGAAGAGCTGGTGTAAGAGTGAGATGAAAACCCCAAGCACAGCTACGACAGACTGGTGGCACGGGCAGCACCGGGGGCCTGCTCACGCTCCCACAGAAATGCCCTACGGAGACTGAAGAGGAGCGTGGGTCAGATTAAAGAGGGGAGGGCGTTTACCAATTCATTGATCACTGCATGAGAGCGTTTTTTGTATGGCATCGGTGAATGGAGATGCGGAAAGAGAGCTTAAGCCATTCCATAGCACCCAAATTGTCACAGGGGAATATTCACACTGTCCCCACCCGGCAAATTTACGTGCCGGACAACGGCATGGCTAAAAGCACCAAAGCCCAGAATTCAAGTCCTGTGTATTGCTAGTGGGGAGAGGCACCTGCTTCCAGAAAGCAGTCCAGGGCACCTCAGTTTGATGCCTACCTTTAAGAAGTGTGAATTACTGTTAAAGGCCACAGCGCTTCCCGTCCGGTGACACATTGGGAGGCACCGCATTTTGCCCGTTACTACAAACGCAGCCTGAGAGCCAGCCTTGTGTGAGACTCATGAAAGCCAGTGCACAAAAACCCCACTGCAGCCCATGAGTTCCTGAAATGAAATGTCGCAATGGGAGTTGTCTCCATAGGAATCCTACATGAAAAACCTAATTTTGGTGAGATGTCAAGAAGTACAAGGCATTCACATTTTGGGAATAAAACTTGGGAAACGGATCTGACTCATCCATCACCATGCTGATGTAAAACAAAAATGCAGCTTGTGAGGACTGAGAAACAGCCCCAGTGCAGTTTGCACCCTCTGCCGTGGTTTATGGAGCCAGATTTGCAGCCAGCGTAAGTGCAGTCAGCATGGATCCATGGGAGTCAGTCAAGCCAGTGGATTATACCAGATGAAGACGTGACTCTATTTTCCCCTTGAAGTCACTTGTGCAGTCACAGGGGGAAATGTCACATGCAGAAACATCACCATGCAGAAAAGCCACTGATTCATGCAGTATAAAGTAACACATAATTCTACAAAACAGGTGTTTGTAGTATTACAGCCATGGCTTTATTGGTACTCTAAGCATGACTGCTGAGCATTAGAGAAAGATTCATTATTTCTACTAATGCTCTACATCAAAACATTCATTTTTACAAAGAGTCAGATACTATCCTGTGTTTCAGAAAGTATTTATTTAGACACAGATGTATCTGTTCTGAGAAAAGAGGTATCTGCAGTGTTCAAGTACACCAATTAGATCTTCAGTTAATGATGACTACTGTATTAGAAACTGCCAACACAAGGTCAACAGTTTTGGCACTAAGTGTCAAGTTGAAAGCTGCTTACCACTTAAAAGTTAAGAAGCCAAAAGTTAGGTAAAATGCCAGAATGGGTGGTTAAGTCAAAATCAAAGGCTTGGCTTACATACACCACTAGCAGACACTTGTAAGACAAAGTGTGTGGAAAATACCAGTTTAACAATGAAGTATCAGGCTGCCAGCACATTAATGGTTTAAGATTTTTACAAAAATTAAATTAATCTTAATATATATGGGGTTCAAAATTGCTGTAGGTACTTTTTACTACTGAAATGACTTTCAAAACAACAGGGGAAAAAAAGCAAATGGCATGCAGTGGCTCACTAGCATATTAATGAGTCTGCCATTAATATGTACAGGACACAGTGCTCCAAGCCCCAGAACCTCATTTTTTTAAAGCCATCTTGGAAGAGGCCAGCAATGGTGTTGCCCTTAAACATCATTGATATGACCAAAGGCTTTCATGCAAGGATCATAATGACTGTACAGTAAACAGGAAGACCACATAAGTGTCACATACCCATCATTGTAAGCACCGTCATGTCGGGAGGAGGTGAGAATGTCCATCTCAATGAGGTTGTCCTGCAATGTCTCTAGGAATGTCTGCTTTGCTATGTTTCTACATACATATGGAAACATGAATGAAGCCAGTGAGTCATGCATATATGAAGTGTGATCTTATAAATCACAATGGTTATAGTGCAGTTGTGCATGGAATTAGAATGATGGACCATATATTTATATGTATAAGATGCTACACATATACATATATAGCTTTTCAGAATGTTCACTTCTCTATATATACACTATATATATGCATATACACACATATGAGCACACACGCCCATGTGCATGTATAAAAAAAAGTTGATGTCTTTGTTCATTTCACGTTATTTATTGCCAGTGACACACGAAACCTTTTGAACTGCTGGATTCAAAAGACTAGGCTTCAGCCCAGCACAGCTGTAACCTTGTTATACTCCTGCATCTGTGTTAGTGATACCCTGAAAAGGCACAGCACAGTATCTACATCCCACTGTGGCCAACACCTTGGTAGCACAGTTCCACCTAACGTCCTCCTGGATTTCCAGCGAAAATCTGTCACTCCTTTCCTTACATTTCAGTTTTGCATTTGAGAACTTTTTGATTACCAATTTGATTAATTTCTTTTCCTTTGTGGAACAATAGCTTGCTCTTTAGAAGTTTCAAAATGCAAGTTTTGCTCAATACGAGTATTCCAAATAAAAGTCTCTCAGTGATAAACAGCTAGAAGCTGGAAAAAGGTTATGCTCTAACCCAAATTCCCATACCAGAGTATTGACTGTAATCTGGATAATACAGGCAATAGGTGAGATCCTTAGGGCCTGCATGTGAAAAAGCCTGCTTTTGACTTTGCACACAATACTGGTGTTTTGCAATATCTGGCCTCTCCAGCATGTACTTTGATGAGTCACATTTGACCTATATATGCTAAACTGTTTTGTACTTTTTGAGGAGAATAGCAGGAACATAAAGAATTAAGTCAGAGGCACAGCTGGAAACACACTGTGTCTTTCTCACCTTCAGGCTTGTTTCTCAAGACCTGGCAAAAGAACATTCTTCCCATCTTTTTTAGAACAAAAAACAGTCCTGATTTTGCCCATGTGTGTTTTCAGGATCAAAACTGAATCTAAGCCTGAATGTGAATAAATTCCCTGGCCAAACCTAGCAAAAGGAACATAACAGCATTGTGACACTTTATCATTTATGCGGGATTGAGCGCTTACAGGATATAAGTGACATGATGTGAACTCAAACAAGAACTCCTCTGTCAAAGAAACTAGATTTGGGTAACGTCCTATACCAAGAGAAACCAGCCCTGTCACATTATACAAACCTTGATACTGTCCCTTCGAAAATGTCCTCAATCTTAACTTTCATTTCTACGTCCTCCTCTTCCTGCTGCTAATGCCAGCACTTGTTTAGCTCAGCTCACTGCTTCTGGAGGCCTCTGGGCTGCTTTGACAGAACAGATCTACTCCTTGATCTGAACGAAAGTGAAGTGACTCCTATTCAGAGCTTTGGCGTAAAGTGGATCAACATGCATGAGCTGTGTGCCATAGCACTTGAGACATCAGTTCACCCCCAAGTGTTTGCAGCTTCCTTGCATTCCCTGGGAATGCAGGAAAGGTTGGATGTTGAATTCAATGCAAAAAGAAGCAACGTATGTGCATGCACTGAGAATTTAATGGGTAAGAGGCAAGGCATCTAGCAACACACCAATCAATAAAAGTTCATCAGTAGTTAAAATCCATGTCAAATTGGTTCCATGAATTTCAGTTGTGGATTGTCAATAAAACAGAAGAAGGGAGGGTTATATAATCTTGTAATGCATGTATTTGTACCAGAGAGGCCGCTGGGTCACCGAGGTGACTAATGCATGCCCGTCCTCCTCACTGAAGGCTGGACGGAGTCTGCTCCCCTGGAGACTACCTGTGAAGAGCTGCCTAGTTACAAACCACTCTCCCTTCTCATTATGAGTTGTGGTGGCAGAATCTGACGTTACGTGATTACCATATGAAATTTCTTGGGAGTGGAAGTCTCCTGAAAGCTGTTGGTTTGTCAACTAAATGTCCATCTAGCCAGCATTTATTTGCTCCTGCAAGGTCAAATGTAAAGGAACAGGCCACAGAAGAAGGAATAGTGAGGAATAAATATGGGGAGAACTGACTTACCTGTCAGGAGTGACTGCTGAGCAAAGATCTTCTCATCACAACCTTGATAATATATTGCTTTTAAAGCAACAAAAAAGGGAGCAGACAGGAAAAGAAAGAGGAAGAAGGAGAAACAGAGAAGAGGGAGTAAAGGGAAACTAATGAAAAGAAGGGAGAGAAGAGGAGGGGCTCTTCCTCTTGCAACATGTAACATTCGCAGATATAGGATACGCTTATTGTGTCAGTTGTACACTCATGCTACACATCTCTGCTTGCCTTTGCCTTACGGTATGGAAATTTCCAGGCAGTGACAAACCATCCTAAACTCCAAGTTCTGAATACTGCCTGGAGTCCACGGCAGTCAAAATCAAGCCTCTTCAAACTCTGGGGTGCTTAAAATCTAGAACTGTAGGCACGTTTCACAACCTGTGACAATCCCTGGTTAAAAGACGTAGCTTTTTCTTCATGTTTTTTCTCTCTGTTGATTAATATGGGATTTAAAAAAAACAGATATTCAACAGAAATACCATTCCATTTTTGACATGAGATTACTATAATCTCCTATTGCTATACTTCAAAGGCCTTAATTCTTGGATTAATGTCTCTTGGCCAGGATTTATTTTTTTTACATATTGGACATTTTATTCTGTAGGTGGAGGTCTTTTTTTTCGTTCTAAAAACCTTTGCAGTGTGGAAGGCCGACTTCATGGAAGAGGTGGAATTGGACATCCAAGTTTGCTAAACAGCTCTGAAGCCTGGTCTTTTATGTCTACAGAATTCCCACCAAAGGAAACAGAAGACCTCTGCATGTCAGAAGAGCAAACTATTAGAGATTTGTCACAGATTTACTGATCATCTATGCAGTACAGCCTCTTTGCATTATGACACCGTTATAACACATTTTATTTTCTTAATGTTGTTTAGTGAAGGCACAAAAGCCTGTCAGTTGTGCTCTGCAAATGTCCTGATTTGCTGTTTAGCATAAAAGTACACATTCTTTTCCAACACGTCCGTTGTCTGAAGGGACACTTGGCAAAATTGCACCATTCCAACCAGTGTGTCAAAAGTTGCAACATCAGTCTCAAAATGACCTGTTTTCTGCCTAATTAATAAAATGGTTAAATAGAGGATCAGTTACGAATGTGACTGATTTGTAATGCAAGTGAAAGCATCAAATGATGCAGCAGGATCTCTTCATGCAGGCAGACCTCCAACATCCAGTGTGGTTAACAGCAATAATATGGCCAACTCAACTTGCAGAAAAAACAGTCTGCTTCAGATCTTGAAAAATTTCATCCGCAATGATTTTGTGGAGAAGAAGTGAGGACAGTCTTTACGGACGTACTCATTTACAATTTAACAGGAGCAGTCCAGGACTAGCCAGATAATTGTTCTGTCTTATGAACTCCTGCATTTATTAAGATGTGGTAGGGTTGTTTCTCCGTCTCCCTCTCTGATTGCCAACAGAATGGCACAAACGGGGGCAGGATGTTTTCAGCAAAGACCTTTTATCTCTGACATTCCTCCATTGATCCAGCAGCAACGACGTTCCTTCTTAATTGTGAGGTGGTCGGTTCTGAAAGACTCCAGTCAGATGTGAGGATGTCGTGGCATTATTAAAACAGTATATTATCCCTTCTCCAAAGAATTCACAACCTGGTTTAGAAAAAGGGCTTCCTCCAGAATTATAGAGGATTATTCACAAAAGTGCTGCAGGAGTGGGGCCTAAGTATTTTTTAATGTAATTCTTTTTTTCAAAAGAAATAACACACAAAAGTCACTGCTTGGATATATATGCTCAAGAATTAGTAACACAATATAATTACTGAAACTGTTGCCAAATCACACTTGCAGTACTTGCTTATAATTTTGTCTTAATCTTTTGGATCCAGCTTCTTAGTTGGGTCTTTTTAATCAAGCAGTCGCAGAGAAATTAATTATCCTTAAATGCCATCAAATGTTAGATTGAGGTCTGTTTTGGAAGTTTCAGAGGGCCAGCAGACATAGCTCATTCTCAAAAAGATCGACAGACGCATTCATTTTTAAAAAACACTTTCTTAGCAGAAGCTGGCAAAACTGGGTACATTTTGTCCCAGGATACAGCCACAGCTACCACGGATCTCAATGGGATTCCCACAGGCAGTGACGTAACAAATTTGGCCCCTGGCTCAGTTTTCAGTTAGTATATGGTTTTTTTCTGTCTAAAATCTTTCTTGTTGGTTTGGGAAGGTAAGACAAACGAAGGAAAAAAGGCAGCTAAGTGCACCATGTTAGGCCTGGAAGACTTCTCTCCAGACTGAAAAAGATACCATGTATGGGGGCTAATGAATCCAGCATCTCCAGTGGTTTCTCAGTAGCAAAGGAAATGATGAAGCAAAACCTCTGGAGAATGCAAAAACTGAGTTTCAAGTGGGACAGCAAGAAGTAGAGGCACTCACCATCAGATGGGAGGACTGAGGCTGAAGGGAGTATGACAACTCCCTTTTCCAGAACCTATATAGAATCTAAACAAAGCTATGAACTAGAACAACTCAGTGCACCCTTGTACACCCTTCATGTGTTGCATAGGTGGAAAAGAACTTAAGAGCTAAACAGAAACATCATTAATTGACCGATGCCCTGCTATCCCGTGTTTCATGCCTGCTGGAGCAATGTTGTAGGACAGTAAAATGCAGCAGCTGACCTCTCCTCATTAGGTAAAACATGATCAACCTTTCCTGAATGGTGTACTACAAAAGTATCTGCTTGATGAGGCACAGCTAGAAGGCTAAATCTTTTCAATATATTGACTGATTTCAGTTTGTTAAATAGGATATTGATTTATCCTACCACATAGGAAGAAAAGACATTAAAGGAAAATAAAAGAAAGAAAACCAAGAACATTTTAATCTATGATCCTGATTCCAATTTTAGATGAGGAAAATAACCTTATGAGCAGCTGTTAAAGACAATATTTTTAGTTTATGAAAGAAGAGCAATTTCCTCTTCTCCTAGTCCAAATAAAAAGACAGAAGGAATAATAAATACAACTCAAAATACACAAGCCAAACAGCAGTTCACAAACCGAACAGCTCGCTCCACAGATGTGTGTATTTTCCTTAACATCCTTAGCACACACAGTCAGAACACTGTAAAGTACTAAAGAAAATGACCTACCTAGTCTCCAGTGGGATGTTACTGTTAAGTAACCAGTTGTCCTGAGCATGGGCTGGCTCTTGAGTGCTGGCTGGTTGTTCTCCAGAAAGAGAGTGGTCCGTAGGAGCTGGGCTGGGGTTGCTGCGTGGTGTGAAGTTCCCTCTGTTTAGGGAATTGATGGAGGCCGCGTGATGTTGATTTGGGGTGTGAGCATGTGATATTGGAGGTGGTGGAGTTCTAAGTCTTGAATGATTTTGAAGATTTGGAGGATGATCTAAAACATAAGTAAAATATTTTTAAGGTTCATTATTTGAATTGTTTCATACTGCGCTCATTTATGTGCAGGCACTTCTAAAAAGTAGGGTGGCTGGGATGCCACATATCTTAAATCAAACTCAAAAGGGTAACATAGACGTGTTCCGTATACTCTAATGGCACATGCATTGGTCCCCCAGATGGCTAGAAAAATAGTTCGGCTTCATGCAGAAAAGTTATGAAAGCTTGAAGCACTGCAGAAGGCTGTCCTGACAGCCAAGTTAACTCCAATGAACAACTGCAAGTTGCAAACTGCAATCTATCTGTGACACTGATTTGTGATAAAGCATGAAAAATACAGCCGGTCTGCACAGATAACACTTCAGAGCAATTTTATGACGGATATACAGCTCCCTGTGAAGTTTGTTCTGTTTCGCCAGAGAACTTTCAATAGTTAAGTCAACAAGAAGACTGAGAATACATTTAATCATAGATTGAGTCTAGGGAAAGCCATAATAGTGTGTCAGGGTTATACAATTTAACAAAATCCAATAGTCTGTATTGTTAGAGATGTACACAAACTGAGTAAAAAATGCACGTGGCATAAAAACTGAGGTGTCAGGAAAATGAAACAACATATGGTGAAGAAAGATGTAAAGATCAGTGATATGGCTACTCTGTGTAAACATCAAAGTGTTTGTTAGCCAAGAGTCTGAGGGAGGTAGATTGAGGAAGGCAGACATTTAGGAAAGACCAACCTAGTGCTGATTATATTGGTATGTTTAGTTTTTTAATTAACTATCAAGGATTTTTTTCATATGTTTTCTAGAAAAACTAGAATATTTGATGGAGCTGGAGGGAGACTGACAGTTCAGCATGCTGGATATGGGATAGAGGAAAGTTATTGCTCTGTGATTTTAGTAGGTTTATGCTTGTAAGTCATTAATACAGAACACTTGTATGAAGCCTTATCTGAAAAATAAGTATATTGTATCAGTCTAATACTCACCAGACAGACTTCTGTATCATGGAAAACTAACACTCATTTACTCTCTAATTAGAGAGCTCCGAACTGAATGAACTCTACGGAGTCCTAAATTACAATGAATGGTATCAAAATTACCATGACATTTAATGAGACTTTTGAAACCTGGATTAGGACATGGATTCAGGAGAGGAACAGGGAAAGCATTTACAATATTTCTGTAGCCTCTTGGACATTTAGACACATAAGATAAAATATAAAGATGTGTGAGACATCCCATCCCTTCCCTCCTCACCCTGTACTGACTCACACCACCTTACCATTAACTATGGCTGATTATACCAAAACCTTAGGGTGGTTGAGGTGATCTAGCAAAAAAATAGAAGGTGTTAACTACAAAGGTGCCATTATTATGTTTGAATGTGTATCTGCCTCTGGCTTTGTTAGGTTAGACATGGGACCAGGGGTATATATTCCATGGGGAGAACTGAGTGCTTTTAGGATCCCGATCCATTTTACCTTGTACTCTGAGAAAGGTCAGAGGAACACCTTAAAAGTGCTGTTCTCTCTATTGCAGATCAGTACAACAGAGAACAACAAGCTCGAAAAAAGAGGTCCATAGCGGTCATCTACATTTGGACAGATAGATTCTTCCCAGGAAGCTAATGGAGTATTCAGAAGTCTGACTTAGCAAAGCTCATCCAAAATTAATAATGCCATACTGCACTCTGATCTGTCACTAGTTAGCCCTGAAAAATTCTGTACATCACCAGCAAACTAAAGGGAAGGACAGAACAACCACCATGGACTGCACGGACAAGGAATATCAGAACCAAACCAGGTCTGACCTCAGCTCTGCAGCACCACATGAATCAAGGCATCCAACCATCCTTGGACTGGATATTACTGGGGACTGTCGCTTAACTGAAGCCCTGACCAGGGAGGTAATAAAAACAACAATGGAAGAATCCTACTGCTGGCTTAATTAAATTAGTGACTCATTTTCCCACTCAACAGACAGCAGCCATGATTGCTTGGTTAAGCCCCTTATGCCGAGAGGCAGAAGGAAGACGGGAGGACAACAACCCCAAGCAACGCTGCAGGCTTGGGGAGGAGCGGCTGGAGAGCTGCCTGGCAGAAAAGGACCTGGGGGTGTTGGTTGACAGCCGCCTGAACATGAGCCAGCAGTGTGCCCAGGTGGCCAAGAGGGCCAATGGCATCCTGGCTTGTATCA